CATGTCGCATCAGCTTATTTGCCATTAGCGACCACACATTTCTACACTGTTACATAGTCCTTTATATTATATTATTCTTTGTGGAGATAGATTGCTTAACTTACATTTAAATTTACATTTCGCTTATTTGTGAATTAACCCTTTGCAATCGAGTGGTGACTGAGAAGCGACGTTAAATAATCGTCACTTGGTAAACAACGAATGAAAACAGAGGGTAAATTTATTGGCCTCCGTAAATTTGTTCACCACGGTGAAATAGAGAATACATTGAATATTTAAATAAAATAGCACAGTTTATTTCTACGTTAGTTTTAAAAAGTTTCAAAGAAAATAACCTCCGAGTGCAAAGGGTTGAAAAAGTCATGGTGTAAGGAATGCGGCATTTAGGTAAGAACTGACCGCTCTCCCTTCTGAGTAGCATACAGCGCATGTTCTACGAGGCATTGAAGTCTCCACCGTTTTGGAAACTCGCTTAATGCGCTTGAAACAGATCACAGAATCCAGTTCTAAAATAACGGACAAATTTAATCCTGTGCACATCAGTATAATATTTGTCATTTCAACGTTATCAAATACCAATTAGCATAATTTCATGTCCAATTACTTATCGAGAAGTGTCCGCGTTTATGCGGGTTAAAATAATTTACTCGAGGAGAAATTACACTCAATTTCGTTTATCGTGTTCTCTAATTAACTAGAATTGTTAAATTAACCTGATAGAATTAAAAAAAAATTACAGAATAATACATATACTTCAAAATTTGCGTTTGATTTTTATAAATTACCACGGCAAACTTTTCCTAAAAATCAAAGTTCTCCAACATGGCGATACTATATCCTCCGTGCAACCATAACTTCGCTACTTATATCAGTGTTCACCAACAGATGGCGGAACATTATCAATGTGATCGTAGTACAGTGAATATTTACGTTTTTATCTGTCACTCTACTTTTTGTTCTTATCCCTTTCATAATCTGTATGCTATCTTATTCTTACCTTCATTTTTTTCACGCTATCCTATTTAACAATAGTAGAGTTTTAAAATGGCGGAGTATACGTGGGATAATAATTAAAAGTAAAAATTTATTTGTAACATTATTTGAAACGTAAAAATTTATTTCTGACACTTTTGTAGGATAACAGTAACGTTATATTTGTATACTGTGTTAGCATAAAAAAAATTTGTCTAAAATCCTGACACTTTTTAAAATATAAAATTCCTTTTAATTCTCTCGATTTGCAAACCAATTTTTCACATTTTTGTACAGCATTTAAAATTATTTTTAGGCGATACGATTCAATTAAACTTAATATTATTTATCAGAGTCCACGATAACGAAAATCGAAACTGTCAAATCTTTTGTGAAAAATTAACGTGACAAAAATTCATATCGATACAAAACACGTCTATTTTTTTTTTTCTGGTAGTATCTGTCCCTATCGATAAATATTATCATCTCAGTTTCGTTTTATCAGTGTTTCCCACGGATAACGTTCCTACTCCAATGTTTCACGTATCGTACTCTTTCCATTTATCCATACTATCCAGAGACTAAAATCTGCAATAAAAATTAAAAACATCCAACCTACCGCAAAATACAATAATCTTCAAACTTTTAATAACAATTTTAATAAGAAATAATATAACAATCTTCAAACTTTTCACCTATGTACACAATTTACCCTCAACAATTACTCTCAATTTCCTAAAAATCATCAGCGATCCGTGCATCGAACCTCAAACACTGCGAACATAAGAAAATCCAAACTACTAAAACCTATATTTAAACGCAGGGTCATGAGAAGCATTAACCTTTTCTTTAAGATTAAACAAAGTCAATATTTCACTGGTTCTTTCATTACAAATCAAATATAAATTGGAAACAAGATTATTGCGCTGAATTAACAATACCCTTTCGTTGCACTCGGAAGCTTCACAGAAAAGTGTACGCGAGAGAACTAAATGGAAGATAAATGAACGGAAAACGATAACTTCTGCTGTGATGCGTTATAGTGCTGATATTGGAGCTGGTCGTTCGTTGTTGCAACAAATCGCGCGGAAACGAAAAGATCGACAACTCATGCACGAATTTGCTTAATATTTACGACCAAGGACGCGGTAACCGCGACCACCGTGGCGTATTATTACAAGGAAGCCAGATATAACGACCATTATACCCATTGTTGGCCTGTTATCTTTTCTAAACGTCTCGAGTACATAGAAGACGCGGCGACGAAAGAAGATGACGGATTAACTCCACGCTGTATAATCCACACCGAGCAAGGAATATTTTCAATTTCTACGAATGTTATCGTCGATGAATATTAATCATCAACGAAGAATTTTTTGTCTCGCTGTTACAGTCATTTGTAACTACTTTTTTCTCTTTCTTTCTTATTTTTCTCTATTTTCAGATTCGCGTAAGTTATTACTCCTAGTACTTCCTTCTTTCTCGTTTCCTTGAACTGAGATAAACTTTGCGTAACCTATAATTCTCACTTCCTTTCTCCTCATTTCCTCGAAATATTTTACAGCCTCGCTCGTTATATCCTTGAGTGGACATTTTTCAACTTGCTTTTTTCATTATTCCACTTTTTTTCTGTTAATTATTTTTTTAGGTGAAATTTCGCGAATAAAAGTTCGAAAGAAGGCTGTTTCTCTTGTACTGGATTAATGTCAATGCCAACTTTTGCTGCGACGATTAAATCAGTACGAGTTGAAACTGGTTAGTAAATGTAATCGGTTAAAATTTCATTCGATGCACGCGGTTCGTATCGTTTTAACATTTAATGGACTGTGTAATTTATGTGTATCAACGTTTGTCTCCCTGCGAATGATAAATACCGTTTCATTCGTCGGCTAAACGATAATAGGTGAAGCAATAGAATTTTCTTTATCTGTTAAACAGATTCATTGTTGTTTGTATACACATTTAACGCGCAGAATTATCGATTCGACTAATGTTGCCAGTCACAATAATTCATTCATCTTTCGAATCTCTGTTAAATTAATGTTATTTATGTGTAAGAATATTATTTAGCGTTTACACACGGTAGGCGTGTAATCATAAATAAATGAATATTAAATTATTTCCAAAATTTGACGATATTAAAAATAAATTAATTCAGGGTCGAATGAATCGTATTTTAGTTGAAGTTAAATTGAACGTGTATTGGACCGTGATATTAGCATATGCAAACTGAACGAAAATTTCATTTAATCTCGAGTCTTCTAAGATGAATTAAATATAGCTTTAGTAACTAAATGGACGAAATAAAATGGAAACTAAAAGCAAAAGCATACTACGTAATACAGTTAAACTGACCCCAATTCAAGATTATGTAAGTTTAAAAACATTTGTTAGTTTATATGATCTTTCACCTAAATCAAAATCTAATCGGTTTTACAAAATAATTCACGAAGCAGAATTTATTGTAAATAAATGTAAAATCAAATTTAACTCATATTTTTCGTTTAATCGACGATCTTTCTCGTATTGTTAACATGATACTCGCCGCGTAATTATGATTTAAAGGCAACCAGAAACGTTACATTTTGATACCATCATCGTATGATTATACAATTTCTTTATTAACTTCTCCAATTGCAGAGTAGCATTGACATAGATACCGAAATGATATCCAATTTATGCGATTTTGCTTAAATATACTTGTACAAGTAGAGTACGTGGTTATCTGTATATGTACATATTTTACAGTTATATTTCTAGATATCTACAAATATGTTTTACATCGATATAAAATGAAAACACGTCCAACTTTTAACGATATGATAAACCATGGCTCGAGTGATCGATTTAAACGAGAACCAATCATTCCTTCGAAGCAATCACCTCTTTCTATATTTTTCAAGCAATAAAAATACACAAAGATTGTATTAAATTAAATTTCTTCGATTACTGAAAAACAGTTTTAAACATTTCACTTAACGAACAATTGTACAACATAGTAGAGACTTCCATAAGCATCCCAGAATTTTCCCAAATTTTTTGAAAGCCTAGAACAGTAAAAACGAAATTAGATCGGAGTTTGAAAAAATTTTTTCTGACTTTTGTATTTCACTCTTGTATTTCTTCGATTACTGAAAAAAGTTTTAAACATTTCACTTAACGAACAATTGCACGATATAGTACAGACTTTCATAAGTATCCCAGAATTTGTTCACATTTTTTGAAAGCCTAGAACAGTAAAAAAAATTAGACTTGAACATAAACAACCGAATTTCCTTACGAAGTGTGAAAAAACACATTTTTAAAGAACAAAACTGAGCTATTTCATTAATTCCTAAAATATAAGAAAACCAACGAAAGACGTAAACGAAAATAAAGAACGTTTCCTTTCTAAGTCTCTGATCCAATAAAAACGCAACATTGCGAAATATTTCGCTTCGTGAAGCGGTATTATGAAACTGCCAAACCAAACTGTGTCTAACTGCGAAACTATGAAAAAAAAAAACGCCGCGGGTATATACAACGTGAACGCGTTTCATATAACTGGAACCTTTAACGTCGGTCGCATATCTCGGGATCTCGACGTCAGGGTTCGACGTCGTTCACGCTTCAAACGCGATAGATTCAGTAAAAGTTCAGCCGAGCCGCAAACCGCTGTTGCAATTACTTAATCAGGAGAGACGGGGGCGTGAAAACAAGTCCCGGTGCGTGTGCACTCGCGACAAGCGACGACGAATCAAAGGACGAGACTCGCGGTTGGATGAAAGAAACGCGACTGACTTTTCAACCGCGCGATCAGCTGAAAACTTCGATAAGCATTAAGAACAGCCGGGCTGTTTGTACTCTTCTCGAACCGTTCGATGAATCAGTAGCGGTTCGCGCCTCGTACAGCGTAAACGCTTCTTCCCAAACGTTCTTCAAACATCATCGAACTCGTCACGATTTGATTCTCGTTTGAGAAGAAGAAGAAAACAGGAAGACCGATTTCATTCTGCATCGGTGACTTTTTCACGAATTTTCGTCTCGATTACCGTATTTCGTTGTCCCGCTACATAAGCTTGGTTCACTAGGTGTGCATTATTCTGATATTTTTCGGGTGAATTCTCGATGGTGGAATTTCGATAGAAACCCCGTATATTTAGGATTCGTTGAAGTTTGTCGAATATGAGATGATAGATCGCTGAGTGAGCGAAAAGAGAAAAGATGGAAGAAGAAAGCTGTGTTGAGGAGCAACGTGTTCCTACAGAGAAGTTCAACAAGACCGGGGAGGATCTGAAGAAACGCGGTACGTTCTGAATTCTTCTTTTATTGACATTAATATTGTCGTTGTTGAACGAAAGATTGGACAGGCGTTTTCTTTTCTTCTTTTTTTTTTTTATTTTAGTTTGAATGTCGAAAGAATGATTGCGATAGGCGAGAGATAATAATGAAAATGTAGATTCGAGTGAACGTGGAGTATTTAATTTAAACAGCTGATCAAAATTTAAATTTGTCAACTTCATTAAAAACCAAAGATATGTTTTTTTTTCTTATAACGTTATTAAAATGAAGTAGTATAGCGACCTTTTCTGGACGTCAGAATTTAGGCAGAAGAAGACTATATAAGAAGGACGTTCTTTTTTTATTATTCAAATATAATCGTCGTGGTTTTTAATTTTCTGTGAGAAAAGTCTGTCCGCAACCTATCATTCCTACAAAATTATGCAGAAATGATTTAAAAATTGCTAGCATATTTTCGCTTTTCTTAGTCACATATGTCACTCGTAAATCGAGACTTTACAGTATGAAAATCTCCTAATAAAATGAGTCACGTATAATGAATTTTTTATTCACCTGTGAGTCAACGTGAAAAATTGCTTCTAATAATCACAGTTCATCGTTTGAAACTAGTGAAATAATTTTGGCCAAATTTCTCATACAAATACTCAATGATAATAGAAATGATTTCCTAACGAATAAAACAAATATTGCATCTTTCTCTTTCTAGAAATGGAGGTCGTCAAGCCTGAAGACAGCAGAGTGCGTGAGATTATCAGCAATGGGTTGCAGGAAGAGGTGCAGGTGCAAAATCACGCAACTTACTACAAAATAATCCCACAGATTTTATAACGAATCTGTCAATAATTATCAATTTTTAATTAATTTTGCGGAAGTGTGCCTTGTTTCAAGCAGCATCGTTAATTTCCATTTTCCTCGAACTCCGATTCTTTCGAATTCAAATAAGTTCAATGAGTTAACGAGAGAAAAATTAAAAAATCGTTCCTTATTATCTTCGTATCAGGTGAATTGTACGATTATCGTTGTTATTTTTCATTTCTTTTTTGTAGGAAATCAGACAAGACATTTTGGAGCTTGTCAACAACCGAATGAACGATATGGTATCTCAAATACTTCAGAGAGTGAACAGAATAGCTTCGAATGAGTCAAACGATCTCGTTGACTCAGAGAAATACTCCAACAGAACGTAATTATATAATCGCTCTTTTAAACCTTAATATAATACGCTTCCATTCTCACGTTACTTTCCATTTGTACTGCCACAGTTTATACTATAACTTTATATACATATAACATATTCGTTCTGTTATTTGAAATATCACTTGCAAAATTAGGCGCGTTAATCTACGAATCTCCTAGAAATTTCATTCGAATTATTTTAGATCCACTGTTCTGTTACCGTATTTCAATGAACTCCCAAAAAATGAAATATTTTTCAAAAAGAATGCTGTCAATAGTATATCAGATAATTGGATATTTTAAATTATATCGAACTCTATTTAATTTTTTTTTTTTAATTATGCATAAAACTGTTTCAAGAAAATGTTACAATTTCATTTATGTTGAGGAGAAGAGAATAATTTTCTAGAAAAAAAAAAAGAATAGGTGGCAAACTTCGAATCAGTAATTCACGCGAACGTTTATGTATGAAACGAACCTAACTCGAAGATCATTCGAGTACCACACGTGTACCTAACTGCTTTGACCCGATTTAACAAATGTACTTTACCGAGCACTATTATGTTTGTATACAATATACAGAGTGTGCTAAAAGTAATAGCGCGATTGAAAATATGTAAAATTGAAATGCAAAGTAAATTTCAATTGAATTGAGATGAAAAACAAAACTGTACTAGCATTCTCGATTTTTACGTGATTTATAGAGTACTTTATATTAAAAAATATTATCTTTTACGTACAAATTAGTAAGTATTATACTTTTGAAATTGACTGAATTCGATTGGTAAATTCTTCTTCAAAGTTTAAACCGGTGAAGATTAGTGAACTCGTCATTTAAAAATATCTTCCATATTTCCTACCATAAAATTTAAGAAAAGTTCACGTAAAATAGTGTTTTCAAGTGTTAACAAGTCGGCGGAATTAAAAAAAAAAAAAAGATAAAGTTGTACCTTCTTTTAGCACGCTTCCTTTTGCGATAAAAGTTCATAACGAAATTCGTTAAACTCAAGTGCATGTGCACTTGATTATTTCCATCAATTTCCATTTATTTTTCACTTAGTTTCATACACAAATATTTACGTTCTAAATCAATTTCTAAAATCGACTATATTCTACTCCATTTTAATTTTTTTAATTCCTATAATCCTGACAAAATCTTGGCAAAGTAAAAAAATATTACACGTCGATTAATTCTGCCATTTTTATCACACATAAGTCAATGTTACGTCTAATATTTTTTTGCCACGAATATTCATACTAAACGAGCGTAATTATCCCACAGGAAACACACGGGAAAAGGTATACTGCCTACCAAACAATTTCTCCAAAGAAACTCCCTGTTGACCGATCTATACGAGATCAAACATATTCGAACGATCTATAATCTCATAGTGGCAACGTTGATAATTCTGTTGATACACACCGCAGTTTACGATATTCGTCACACTGGCTCGTAAGTACACGAGTACTCAACGTACTCGTACTCCGTTTAACGTGAAATTCATACTAATCGTCCAGAACGATAATTATCCATTAGAGGACGAGAAACTCATATACCTATGCGTTCACAAAATACAAACTCATATTTTTAAGCAATAAAAACAGTTGGAACAATCATGAAACTCGTGCACCTATATTTGAAGAAAATGTAGCTTTCGTACAATTTAGTTGAAAAAATCGTGACCTAATTATGCAAATGCCTCCGTCAGCAAAGGGTTACTTAAATATTGCGAAAATTAAGGTTGTCGTTGTAACTGCAAGAATTTTTCGTGAAACATAACAGAGATCATTTGTCACTTCAGGCCTAATCTCGGCATCAATACAATACGAGCTGGTTTTGGCAAATTTCCAGTGGTACTTTGCGTTTGGCCACTTATGAAAGCTTCAGCTCTAGGAGTTTACGTTGCGTTCTGTTATTGGGCCACTCGTCGTCTCCAGTACTCGCCGAAATGTAAATCGACTTCGATACGCTTCTTTCCGTCTAGAGACTAGAGGAATGCAATTCTAATCGACTCATCGTTTCCTCAATCTTTTCAGCGTTTGCCAGAAAAATCTGGGATTACACGTGGCTAGCAGGCATGATTCTTTACGAAACTCTGTTATTTATGATTCCAACCAAAGCTGTGCTGGACAACGATTTACCGCTAGCTTCTAGCATGATCATTCTCATGGAACAAGTATGTATTTCACAAAAATGGCAAATTAACAACAGTATCAAGAATCTCACAGATACTGAAGAGTATAGAATTTTAAAGAGTCTAGAAAATATTAATAAAAATTGAAAATAGCCTCTAATTTTCCAAATATCAATTTTTATTCGTAGTATACAACACACGCTTAATCATAAATATTCGATGCATACACTCGTCTCTTCTCTTTCTGTGTAAAAATTTTACAACTATCCTTTATAAACGCTAAGATTGTTCTACGAACGAAACACAAGTTTGCATCCTGAATTAAATACATTCAGAGAATGAAATTACGACATATCTTTTTTTTTTTTTTGCTAATATTAATATTACACCTGCAGAATGAGAGTTATATTAAAAACCTGAAATTACAATATCTCGATGATTAAAAAAAAGTTATTAGATCCAAGATCACTACGTTCGTTGTAAATCTACATTATTTCATTAATAAACAGTAACGATAAGTGTAGAAAAAAAAGTTAAAAAAAACACTAACAAGAGAGAAACGTTTTACTTGCTTCGCATTTGATCCTGAGAATCGCTTACTCTTTGTTCATGTATTTTCTTACTATGAGACATCTTAAGTTAACGCATACTCTACTAAGTCTACCGAGCATAATCTCATACATTAATCATAAAGAAATGATCGATTCACCACATAAATCAATATTATGGAGAGTAATACTTTTTAGATCCGATTAGTGATGAAAACTCATGCATTCGTGAGAAGTGTAGCACCGAGATTTCTGTCGTACAAACCTCACTCAGAATCTTCAGCGCCAAAACCGCCTGGTTTCTCCAAGTATCTCTATTTCATGTTTGCGCCAACTTTAATTTACCAAGACAACTATCCCAGGTAAGCTCAGAATGGAACATAAAATTCAAATAAAATTACCATCACACATACCAAATTATTGATCTAATTTTCGTGAAATAAAATATCCAAAAGATTTATCTTAAAATATCCTAAAGAGTTCGTTTGAAAATTTTTTAAGAACTTGTTATCTCTGCGTTATCAACGCGACAGGTCAAATCAAGGGTAAAAACAACGACACAAAGGTACATTATCGTCTAAGTTATCATTTTCGACAGCTTCTTAAAAAAGTTATTATGACGACGTTCGAACAAAAACATGCTCACACTCTTAAGTGATCTCCCTGTTTTGTTTAAATGTCTGTCGAGATAGTAAGAGTGTTACAGTTGTACGACCACTACGATATTAATCTGCATATCGTATTATCGTTGTCTGGAGTACCTCGACTTGATAATCAGTTTATCACAACGACGTTGTACTTTGCCATTGTTACATTTCTCTTATCTGTACATCGAGATGAATATTTAAAACGTCAAAACAAATATGTCGTACTCGATTTAGAAATATTCCAAACTTATGCTGCATACTTTAGTTTACTGTAAATAAATCTGTTCAAATTAATTAATTAAGAATTTAATTAGATGCTTCTATATGGTCCACGTAAAACCTAGTTATCTTCTTTAGCTATGGTGGTACGAGGAGATTTTCATGCGTAACTTAAATGACTTCAAAGGGTGACTAAGATGGAGGAAAAATTCTTTTGATGGAAGAAATGAAAAATGAATGGAAGTTTCACGTTTGATTGAAAATTCATGAGTTTAAGGTCATCTTGAAGTTATATTATTATGCACATTTAAATGGACATAAAAAAATCATAGGTGATTTTGAAGAAAAAGAAAGAAAAACAGACAAAATTGGCATTTATAAAGAAAATTATTTCCCATCTTTGAAACCATTTAAATTACGTATGAAATTTTCTGGTGCCACCATAGATAGAGAGGATAATCAGGCGACTTGTTTTACATGGCCCACCCTGCACGTAATAATTACTATAATTGCTATAATTACAGCAGAGATAAATTTTTTAGTTCTAAAAGAAATGAAATGAAATGTTGGATTCTCCAGGTCAAAGAAGATTCGATGGAACGTTATTGTGTCTAATTTCGTCGAAGTATTGACAATCATCGTCTTCGTGGCGCTTCTCTACGAACGTCTGCTATACCCAAATTTTCGGGACTATGGAAAACAACCAATAGAACTGGGAATATTAATACTTAACATTCTTAGCTCTATGCTGCCTGGAATTCTTCTGTTCCTTTGCGGTTTCTACCTTCTCCTGCACTGTTGGATGAACGCTTTCGCTGAATTACTGCGATTTTCCGACAAAATGTTTTACAAGGTAAATTAAATCTAATTTATCTACGGACAAAATGGGACGAGAAATGTTTCAAGATTAACATTTTGTTTCTTTAAAGTAAATATTCAAAGATTGTCACTTTTTTCGTTATTATGGTATAATAACTATTTGAAAAACGTTGTCGCTCAAAAGAATTCTGGAATAAACACCGGAAATTGGTTCAACTTCGTTGAATGAACAATTTAATTAAATTTATACGGTTAAAGTATTCACGTCTAAAAACAAAAATGTATATTATTCTTTATAGCTATCAGACGAAACAATTCATTAGTTTATGCCAAATGGTAAACGCTCGTAAAAATTTTATCGTCGTCATTACGCAATGCTGAACAACCAGCTTTCACTGTGCATTTACCGACTCCAATTAAGTTTCAGAGGTAGCTAATCAAAAAACTAAATCTCGCAACTGATCAAATTCTGATAAACCAGAAGAACGTCTTCAGCAGTAATAAGAAATAATCAATCAGCCAAGTATTATTTAACAAATTACTCGAACGATAATGCCATCGGTTTTCACCATTCATACATTTTCAACATCATACCGCCACCTGATAAAACATGATCTCGTTATCGTTACAACACGTACCTTCGACAAACCACAAAGAAAGCACTTTTAACAAAAATCATTTGTAGAGTAACTGTACCTAATATGGAACACCTGATTTTAAAAGCTTGCCAAACATAGAGACATGCCGTTTCTTCTAATGAAACTAGCACGAGAAAATTAATAGATATTCGTATGTTAATAGTTCAAGTGTCTTGAAGTCATGGTAAAAAATGTAAAAAAATTGAAAAACTGGTACCTAATATGGAACACCTAGGAAATTTGTAAAGAAATCTCAAAAAATTTAATTTTTATTAGGAAAAATGAATATTTATACAGGGAAAACATTTTTTTATGTGCCAATCAATGCATATGAGAATTCTCTTCAAAAAAGTATTAGAGGACTTAGGTCGAAAATTGATTAGCTTACAAGTTACGAGTTTTGTCCCGAACGCCCATATACGCGAAACACTGTGTGACGGCAAAAAACCATTTCTCTAAGCCTTATAAAAGTATCGGTGCAAAGTCAAATTCTTTTGACAGCGACACGACGATGATAACCGAGAAGTCACGCGTACGCATTTGCTCGATCGCGCGCGGATCAGCCTGTTCTTCGTCCCTGAGCGCGCTCTGATTGGCCAGTGTTTTTCGCGCGAAACACTGTGTGACGGCAAAAAACCATTTCTCTAAGCCTTATAAAAGTATCGGTGAAAAGTCAAATTCTTTTGACAGCGACACGACGATGATAACCGAGAAGTCACGCGTACGCATTTGTTCGATCGCGCGCGGATCAGCCTGTTCTTCGTCCCTGAGCGCGCTCTGATTGGCCAGTGTTTTTCGTTAACACGTTAAGCGCCGTGTCAGTCACCGGTGACTGACACTATGCCTTCCCGTTCAGGCCGCCGGTGACTGACACTATGCCCTCCCGTTCAGGCCGCGTCAGTCACCGGTGACTGACAGTATACTTTTTGTTAGTCGTCTTCTGTTTATATAGTTCGCATGAGCCACTTGACGGCCGAGTGTGGCGTGAACGGAACTGTGTGAGGTGTTCGAGGAGTTACGGGACACCCTGTATAGATGGAAGAGACAAATAAACTATATTCCATCTTTTTGGAACCTTGAGCCAAGACTTTCTTTTCATTTTTGGTGCTACAACTTCCATCTATTACATAAATAGCATAAAACTATGTGATATATTGTAGAACAATAATACAATGTACTTATAATGGTAAAAATATAATATTAACAAGGAACATGCAACCAATATGGTTCCAAAATTCCATATTAGGTACACACGTATTTCTCCAGGAAAACAATAATCATACTAAGAAGAAGAAAAGTTTAACTATAAATTTCTTCTGATGACTCGAAAACAAACATGTTTAACGATAAATCATAGAAAAGTAATACGTCATTACAAAAAATTTCACTGTTTAACTCGTCTCTCAAAAACTTTCATACCAAATCTCAAATATGATTCTCTTTTCTTTTTAATGAAATATCTTACACAATTTTCCTACTTATTCGTCCAAATACTGCGGTGTTCCATATCCAGCACACTTACCCTAATTACCTCCCAAACTCCACAAAAATAAATCACACGTACTCGATAAACGCTCCCGGAACGTTCAGGACGGAAGTTCCTCAGCCGACACGTCTGAGTCATCGAAACCGTTACACAGAATCGTTTCCACTAGATTTCATCATCGTTCCTTCCAATCTATCAACGGGGTATTGTAACATTCTTACGTTCTACCGAGCGTTTATCGATTCAAGGACCCTCTCTCTCTCTCTCTCTCTTCGTATATCCAGCACGCTGACGAAACACCCGGAGAAATTATGTCCCGCTGGTTTGAATTGCAGGACTGGTGGAACTCTGACTGCTACAGCGTCTACTATCGCACCTGGAACATCGTGGTCCACGACTGGCTCTACACTTACATATACAAGGATATGTACGAGGTTCTAACGCCCCGTAACAAGACACTACCCGTTTGCGTTGTGTTCGCCATCTCCTCCATCTTCCACGAGTACATCCTTTGCTTCACCGTACGCTTCTTTTATCCGGTGATGCTGTTCATGTTCGGTGGCATCGGTCTCACTGTTGTATTCGTACTGAAGACAGCCGGGAACGTGTTCTTCTGGTTCAGCCTTAGCGCGGGCAGCGGCGTGATGGTCAGCTTGTACTGCATGGAGTATTACGCCAGGGAGAATTGTCCATCGTATCGGGACGATTTCTGGGATCTTGTTATTCCGAGAAGCTGGACGTGTATCTTCAAGTGAGGAAGGGATCGTGACCGTTCTGAAGTTCACTCGGGGAGAAAGTTCTGATAATGGATGTGTGTATATGTCTGTGTCTGTCTGTCTGTGTGTGTGTTGCGAATTAAAGAGGCTGATTTAGAGATTGTGCAAGGTACAATGTCTGATACGTAAAACGAAGAAAAAGGAACTACGGGAGTGTTTGGATTGGTTGAACATGTTCGTTCGTTGTTACGGATTAAACGGTTTCTCCAGAAAGACTCGTTGTGACTAGTATTGGAGTCTGGTAACTAGAAAGTGTGTACGGGAAGATATCGGTAATTATGAGATACTGGCTGGTACGAAGCGCACGTGAAACCACATAAATTAGTACAAGTAAATGTAAGGTATCTGAAACAAAACAAATGAAACAAGGAATAATGAATGAAATTCGTGGAAGAGAAGAAAAATGAAATGAATTAAATTGTAATATTTCGATAAATAAAGAATAAGGTTCTTTCGAAGATATAACAAAGATGAAACAATTTCATGTGAAACATCGATGTCATTTTTTTGTTCTTTATACTGGATGTGTATAGATATATGAAATATTAAAATAAACCATCTTTATTTGTTTGTTTTTTGTATTTACTCCTCTCTTGTTCTCCTTCTTTCTTTCTTTTCTTTTTATAATTAAGTCAAAGTCGAAGAAACGCGGATGATGATTTTCGAAAAGACATTGTCTTTATTATCAAGGCTTACATACGTGTCTCGAGGATTCGGCGTGTTTTTCGAAGACACTCGCGTCGTCGATAAAGATAATTATATATTTATATACTTTATAATCGCATGTATATATCTTCTTTTCTCTATACAGGTCGATGCTTAAATATACATACACGCGCTAACACGCTCACATTTATACACAGGTTTTTCTTCTTTTCCTCTTTTCTTCCATAGATTTCTATCTCTTTCCCGCTCACTTGTGTGTATCATAGAGAAATAAACGTATTCCGTGTGCGTTTCATAAAATTCTTCGAGAAATTCAGGACGTTGAAATTTTAGAAGTGAAACAATTACCAAAGGCGAATTTTACAAAATGAAATGATTTAAAAAAAAAAAAAAAGTACAATAGCAGATAATTCAAGGATCAACATTTTGCATATGATTTTTCCAACGATAAAATTCAAAGCATAGGAAGCAGATGATAAAAGGATTTACAACGTTCGATATTGGAACAATCTTCTTATTCTCAATTATATTTCTTTCTTCTTTTTTTTTTTACAATGGATGTGCAATGCGACAGATCTTCTTTACCAAAAATCATATCGACTGTTCGAAAACGGAAAAACGAAGCTCGAGAAAAACTGCATTCCTTGCACACGTTGAAATAAATAATTTAAAAAAAGGACACAATCGAATGGATCACTAATCAAACATCCCTCTCTCTTTCAACTCTTTCTCTACTCGTATCTCGTCGATGCAATTAATTTCAACATTCATTAGCTATCGTATTCGTATCTTACTCTTCTCAACTCTTTCTCTTCTCGTATCTCGTCGATGCAATTAATTTCAACATTCATTAGCTATCGTATTCGTATCTTACTCTTTTCTTTTATTACATCACCGTTTACGCGGAGTAAACACGTACTAGATCTATGTACACAATCGTGAGTATTGAAAAAATAAACCATACTTTTCCCTCGGGAGCACCGGACAATTTCTCCTCTTCAATTACTTTACCACCCTCCATCCTATTCATACTTTTGTCCGTCGAAGCAAAGTATTGTCTACGTAACGGTACTCCCGCTCGAAAATATAATTTTCATCGATTTATACGTGGAAAGTGATCGTATGTCATAGTGGTAATTTATTCTTAATCTCTCTCTCTCTCTCTCTTTCTCCCCCTAATATTTCTTAATCATCGGCAACAGACATATAACTCGTTTATTTTCTTCATATAACTTCCGCATCCGTTCACTCATCTGAACCCTTTCGCAACTACTGGGACGCGCGTATTTCCCACTCGAACAAAAATTGATCTCAATTCAGGATCCGTTACTGGTAGATAAATATGAAATTCTTAAAAAAAATAACGTCGTCGCGAAAGGGTTAATCTCTAGTTTAAGCACCGAACAAGCGTCGATACACTTTATACCTATTTCCATTGACGTTTGTTCGATCCTTGAACCGAAACATTTTTGCCTAATTTGTACAAAGACAACGCTTCCATTTTCGCAAGATTGGAATTTCAATCCTTTGAAGAACATCAGGCGTTATAGTTTCGTTCGAAGAGACTCTAATTACTTGCTATTCTGAAAAAGGTTCTACAAAAAAAAAAAAGGCAATTTTAAACGATATCTAGAAGGAAAGATGAAGATTCGGCGATTTTTGAGTGAAAATTCGTGGAATAATTCTAACGACCGTTTCGTTGGAATGGAGATAGAAGGAAATATCGAATCGCAAAGGATTAAAGCTCCATCTTAGAAAATCTTCGTTTCTCTTTTCTTCTTTAACTCTACTTGGCACTTGGTACCCAGCATCTCTTCCCTATCGCACTTACTTCATTCACAAATTTCCGTCACGCGGCTAAAACACTGAGAACACTGTGAGAATTGTCGAATTCAAATAAATCTTCGATAAGCTCGGCGTAATTTTTCTTTCTTTCGTCGCGACATATCCTCCGATGTTTTTCCCGATCGTTCCTTAACTTTCTCGCGTTTGAAAACCTATTTCTCCCGTCGTAAAAAAGGAGAAGAAACAAAAGAACTGTGCAATAATTTGGTACATCGGCGCCGCGGCAATTGATTTTCGATGCGTTAATAAACTGTCGAGCGAGAATCGATCGTCTAAAAACGTTGGAACAAAGTTTCGCAATACTGAAGCACTGATTTTCTTCGTTGTATATCGCCGAAGGACACTGTTACGAGGAAGGACGACTGGAGCGAGTACAAGAACAGGAAGGTAAAGATAAAGGAGTCGATAATTGGCTATATAGTCTCCCTTTTTTTTTACGGCTCCTTATCGAATGAAATTTCTCTGTATCCATGGTGTTTCCGAAATGGCGTACTTCACGTAACTCCGGAGTATACTGATTAAAAATTTGATTGAATGCAATTTCAAGAACAATGAAATATTCAATTCGATCAACTATCGATTTTTCGTATCTAAAATTTCGCCCTCGTAATTTCGAATACGAAGAAATACATAAAAATACTATTCTCGAAGTGTTTATTATTTCAACCAGCAATTGTCCCGAATACGTGAAATACACCAGTCAAGAAATACCCTATATATTTATTACCATATGCCCATTCCACGGCGCTCTTATAAATATTGTCCAACATGGATTTCTATCGAAAATAACTCGTTATGTACTTGTCTATATTACTCCTCATACGTCGCGACCATTTACTATCTCTCACTTTCTTTCACACATAAACACACGCACGCTATCTCTCCCTTAAAAATCTATAAACAATCGTTTTATTGCTAGCCTCGAGTCCTCCTACCACGGCATATGAATTTTATTTATAATAATAAATCACTTTGATACACGCAGCTTAAATCTCCGTCTCTCCGTCTCTGCAAAGTGTTTTTTCTACAAAGAGACTTTGCTTTTCTTGACTTCCTGCCTCTTCTAGTTTCCTTTCCTTTCTCTTCCTTTTCTTCATCTTTATCTCCCTTCTTTTCTTATATATATATATGTATATGAAAAAATTGAACTTTCTCAAGATTCGCATACGGAGACGCAAACCATATTTGTATTCGGCAGGACATTTCAGGAGAAGTAAAGAGTCCCGATAACGTACAGGGTGTCCCTCCGATAGATAATTCAACTCTCGAAAAACATATGTGATGTGCTCGTCTGAGAATCCTAAAACGCCTAACTATACGAGAAGATATACATTCGAGCGTACAAATTCCCTAATCACCTGTACAATTCCGGCGATAAAATTGCTAGCTTCAATCACGACCCCTCCATGGTGAATCCAAAGAAAAAAGAAATACATATATTCGTACGACCATGTTCGTGTAAATGGATATTGCTTCTGAACATATTTATATTTAACAGTGTGTCGAAGAAAACGAAGTATGTTAAAATGCATATTTTTCTTTATATACAAAATCAATGAAATCTAGTAATAACGTTAAAATTTCGAAAAATGCTCGTCTTCTTCTATCTCGTTAAGAGAAATAAACATTTGCACAAACACCCAACTACATATATCCAGAGAAAAAGAGACGAAGCTTCCACGAAATCCGCACAATTTCCCAAGAATCGTCCCGGGGAAATTGTACCTTTCTCTCCCGATGCTTCGTGTTCGTGAAACACCAGGCTGTAACAGAGAGAGGACGTTCACGGAGTAGCAGGACGAAACCGGCGGATCGTCCAACGATGAGCCGGCTGAGCCTTGCAGGACACCCTGTGCAAGTCGTGGCTAAAATTAAATCTAGAGTTTCAGTAACCTTCATTTGCCCATTCCCACCAGCGCCTCGTCCATCAGCTCGTCGTCGGTGATGCACGGCGAGGCGGAGTGAGGCGAGGGCGGGATAACCCTCGGCGAGGGCGCAGGACTTTTGACAATGTGCACACTGACGGAAGGACTCGCTGGGAAGGCAGGCGGAGGAGGTGGTGGTGTGTTCCTGCGCACAGAGGCCGCCTGTGTCATCGCCCTCTCGGGAATGCTGGTGAAATTCAGGCTCTTAGCCACGTCTTTCGGCGTGGAAAAGTCCAGCAGCATCTCGGCGGCCTCCTGTGACGTCGTCGAAGGTAACTCCGTGCCAGCTACCTTCATCGTGCACGACGAACCCTCCGAGGACACCGTCGTTCCCAACGAGGAGGCGCTCGAAGATCCACCGGTAGACGGGACTTGCGGTGGTTGTTGCTGCTGTTGCTGTGGCTGCGACGCCTGTTGTTGCGATTGCTGTTGCTGCTGTTGCGACGGTTGAGATTGTTGCTGTTGTTGTTGCGGCTGTTGCTGCTGTTGTTGCTGCTGCTGCTGCTTCTTCTCGTCGGATTTGTACTTTGTCATCGTGGCGTCCACCGGTTTGATGCTCAGGTTCAAGCTCTCCGCGCCTCCGTTGCCGGAGCTCGAGTTGCTCGTCCCGTTCCCGCTGGTTAGAGTGCCTGTCGTCATCATTGTAGGGTACACGGGTTTACTGGTAGCCTGAGAGTCAGATACTTTCGGTAGAACGGCCATTACAGGACCACTGCCACTGGTATCGTCTTTGCCAGCGGCTGTGGAGTTTATGTTGCTACTCAGAAATTGCGTGTTACTCCTACTCATCGAGGGCTCTTTGTCGCGGGGCTCATTCTCGGTTGACTGCATCGAGAGATTGGTTGGTATGTCTAGATCATGCGAGCTGCTACTTGATAAAGCGGGAAGCAGAAGATTGTTGGTACTGTCCGTACCGAGGTTTATTACCGAGGCTGCGCTTGTCATAGATAGATTGTCTGGCTTCGTTTGTACATGTTCCCGTCTACCCTGGCTCGACTGATCCTCCGACGTTGTCTTGGAAGCCGTGGTCGACGTGTTCGATAACGTTTGCAATTTTCCCTGCTCCGTCGTCTGCTTCGCCGCGAGATTGTCCAATGTTTTCGCACTGTCCGGAAGCATGGACAGCTTCTCGGACTTCTTATCGCTAGAATCAGCATTCGCTCTGGCGGATAATTTTGGTATTTGAAATTTAGTGTCCAACTGCTTCATCAGACCTTCGACGACCAATTGCGGCGGTAGATTGGGCAAATTCGACAGATTGGACATCGAGGCGTGAGCAGCCAACAGCTTGAACGCTCTCTCGCTCTCGCTCTCCTCTCGCAGCCCCGAAGGGCTCGATTTTCTAGTGTCGCCGATACCCTTCGACGGGAATAAACTTTTATCGCCGGATTTCGATAAGCGCGACTTATCACGGTTCCGACTGAGATCCGTTACACCGGAGCTAGTTATCTTTGGAGAACTGGAGGACGACTTCGAGGACATAACGCTTTTGGAGAGCAGTCCGCTGCTACCGCTACCGCCAACGCTAATCCCGCCGGCACCGTTACCACTTCCGGAATTCGATCCTGAGATAGACTTCAAAGCAGACATCTTTTGTCCTGACAGAGTTGCTTTGTTCCCACTACCGCTGCCAGAACCGGAAGACGAGGATCCGGACAACTTTGGGGACGTTTGAGACGGAGGTTTCTTTGACGCGGGACCGGAACTTACCCCCGGCTTCAAGCCGGTGTGCGTTTTCGGCGAACCGTTACCTGATATCGACGTCGAGGATGTCGACGAGCCCGAAGACGTTCCAGTGGCAACGGACGCCGAGGACGAAGACAGTTTGAGATTCGTGCCGGACTTGGAGTCTTTTGTGCGAGTTTTATTGATCGTTATCTTCATGCCGTCGGAACTATGCTTTACCATATATTCCGCAGGATTTTTCGTATCCATAGATGAATTTTTGCTAATACACTTCCCCTCCGCGGTCTTATTCGATGAACTTCCGACACTTCTCTCCTTCTGACCGCTCGAATTACTACTTCCGCCGGTCGTCGACTTCGTTCCACCGTTGCCACCGTCGTCCGTACAGTGCTGAGCGTTCTTCAGCATATCGATAACAGCACTCAACGAGCTCTTTCTGTTCCTCGCTTGTTGTTGAGCGATCGCCGATTTACCGAGCTCCGAACTCCCGGATGGCGGCGTACTACCGCCGCTGCTCGGCAACGTCGACTGCGTTTCCCCGCTAGGAATTAATTCCAGTTGTTTTAACTTACCGCTGGAGGACTTGGTTTTCGGGCTTTGATGGCCGCTCGATCCACCGAAGGCTAACGACGACGTTTTTCTCTCCTTCTCTCGGTTGGAGTCTTTGCTCGACGACGAGGAGGAAGACTTTATTTTCGATTGTCCAGAATCGGTGGTTTTACTCGATGGTGAATTCGCCGCAGATTTCAGCGCGGACATACTCGGTTTTCCAGTGCTCGCCGAATTGCCGTGCTTCGGTGACGATGTGCCGTGTTTCGGGCTCACGCTCGCTGGTACCGGTGTGTGTTTTGGACTACTGCTATAGACCGGAGAGTGCTTTGGACTTTGCACCGCCTTGTTTGTCGATTGTTTCAATGTAGGACTGGACTTACCTACGAGAGCGAGAGGGCTGGTATGCGTCGGAGACGGACTAAATTTTCGTAACGTTGTCGCGGGTGAAGACGGTCGTGAGCTTAAATTTGGCGGCGACTCCGTTGGTTTGATGCTCACAGAAACGGGTTTCGACAATGGGTCCTGTTTAGATGGTATCTTGTCCGGTGGCGGTCCCATAGGACTGTCTTCTCTCTTGCGCTTACGCCTCTTTTCCAGCTTTCCCTTGTCTTCGGTCGACTTCCCCTTCGAACTTTTTCGTTCTCTACGTTCGTCCGTCAGACTTTTCGACTGTGTTGGTCCAGCTATCGGAGTTATAGTAATAGAACTCGGTAGAGTGGTTTGCGGCGACGATGCGATCGGTATTATTTCAATACCTGGCCTCCTTTCCAAACCCATCCCCGTAAGTACAGAGTTATAGTTCGTCGTCTGACCCAAACTACTGCTTGAAATTGGCGTTATACTTACTGATGGCGGCACCAGACTTTTGTTCTCTTCGAATATAATCGGGCTCTTTTTCTCCTCTCTCTTCCTCGACTTGCGATCACGTTTGATCAACTCTTCGACGTCTTGCAAATCGTGAACCTCCGTTATCTCGCTCTCGTTGTCGATATCATAGTCGGAGCTTTTGTCTGTTCCCAAAATATCCGTTGGATCCAAATTGGAAAAATCCAAACCGCTGGTTAAACTCGTAGCTGACGTTGGCGTGGACGTTCTGGTCTCGTTTAAATTTTCTCTACCACCAGTCGGTGTACCAAGAGGCGTTGAGTCAGAACTGGAACTCTCCAATAATATTTCTGCACTCTCGTCTCCTTTTCTCTTAGGACTCCGCCAGATACCGTCCGCGGTTTTTCTCTTACGCGCCTTTTTCGTGCGTTCGTTCATCGGATTAGACATAGAGTTTTTTGCCTGTCCAAGTAACGCTCCCAATTGTAATGGATTCAGCATCGCAGTAGTTGTGGTATCGGATTGGCCGGAATATGACGGAAAACCGATACTATTCTCCGTTCCGGCATCTAAAAAAGACTGCTGCTGTTGTTGTTGTTGTTGTTGTTGTTGTTGCTGCTGCTGTTGTTGCTGTTGCGACGACTGTTGCCTGCCCATGGTTCCATTTCCGTTATTTAAGCCGGGTTCCTGCTTGATTTTCGTTTCTCCATTAGTGAAATCAGGCATTCCGGAACCGTTCTGACTGTTCTGATCTTTGCCGGAACCGAGATTCACATTATAATTTCCGTTTCCGCTATTTAGATTGTTCATCGTGCTTAAAGAATCGCGACTCTCCCACGACTTCATGAGAATTCTCATTGTCAGTGGTATACTTAAACACTTCTGTAACACTTTTCCGGTCAAATCTGACGTCTGTTCCGTGTTTGTTATACTTATGCCGTATAATTTGCACTTCAGCGCGGAAATATCCGTCAAGTCCAACTCCGCTGTTGCCATTGTCTCCTCGAAAGGATGCTCCAAACTTACCGATATGTGTTGCCACGATAAAGCGCTCACTTCGAATATGGTCGCGTGCTCTGGATCTTGCCGAGCCATAGATCTAACGCAACTAGCGATTAAACTATTAAACAGCGCTTGCTGACGTAAGTATACCAAGATTTGTGGAACGTGCGCCGGGTGAGTGAAAGGAATACTACAGACTAACACACCCTCCATATTTCTATTTTCTGTCATGAAGTAACAATGTTGTTGATCCGGTAAAGTCTGTAATAAAACGTAACATTCGAAATATTAAGGAGGATTTGATAATTAATTATCATGTAGAGCGTTTTACATACAATGTAAAGTCCTCTATTGTTCCGACAATCGAGTTGTCCTTCGCTTGTATGTTGTATAATCAAACTAAGTAACGGATGGGGAGCAGATATATCTCCGCATTCTAGTTCCGTCACTTTCTGAATTCTACGTACTAGTTCCATGCACATCGGCATTTTCTTAGCCAGTTTCAATACGAAACAAGCAGGTAATACCGACGAATTTGTACCAGTTAACGGAGCATAAGATGGGGTACTGGAAAATATTAATGGTAAATTAAAAATTGATAATTAAATTGAACGTAATGTACATTCATTTGTAACAAATTACAAACTTTTTTCCTGTAGGACTTCTATTTACAGTTATGATACTAGATGTAGGCAACTTGTGAGCAGTCGAACCTTCCATACAAACTGTAACGGAATGGCCAATCTTCCGTTTTATAACTATTTCTGAATTCAATGCATCACAGGTACGATTCTCCTGATCTATTAAATCATAAGGAGAAACAAAGTATGTCAACTTCATCGCGTGACCACCTCTTCTTCGCTCAAGGATTCCTAGAACAAAAAATCACTCGGCTAGGACGAAAGTTGTTTTTCAGTGTTGTAAAAATAAACAACATAAAATTTTAACACTGACCTACTGGGCTTTTATGGACAAGATTAAATGGTTCTTTTATAAATGTCTGCAATTGAGCTAAGATACCCAGATCTGCCTCCAGCGACTGTAAAGCACTGAATGCTTTACATTTTACCTTCTTATCAGCATTTAATTGATATATTGAAGCTAAACCTTCTAATTGTACTGTAAAATCAAGGAAGTCTCCTCGAGACAAACAAGACACCAATACATCACAGCTCTGTAAATGTTTTGTTAAGAATTATTATTTGATCAAATATTTTTAAAGCTTAAACATTATTATAGAAATTTCAAATCTGTACCTGCTGCTCATTCTTTCCTTCATGATGAATTTTAACATCTTTAACTACACCTGTTGGCTCCAAAAGAACCTCCAAAAAGAACATATCTGAGGAAATAAACAACTCTGTACCTTGTGGACCAGACATCATAAACTTTAATCTGTAACCCAATCACAACACAAACATTGACTAAGTTGTCTAGTTTTCATTTTCTATACAATCAACAGTTTATTAGTATTTACCCCAACTGTCTGGTTAAACTCTCCAAGCGTTCCACCATAGATTGCAAGGAGGTCACTTTTATGGAATGTTGCAAAGTATCCAAACATTTTTGTAACTGACTTTTCTCTGCACTATCAATTGCAAACCTTTTATCCTATTGTTAAAACAAATAGAATAAGTTCAAAATAGTTAAGAAATCAATATTTACTGATGTATGATTTAATTAATACATAACAAGCTACTTACCAGCATAGCCATACGTAAATTTTTGGCAGTTTCAACCAAGGACTTGAATGTGGAAGCCTTGGAACGTAATTTTTCCATAAGTAATTCCATCTGCCACTCTTTTCCTTTATCCATTGCTGAACAACCAGTGGCAGAAGGTTGCCCACCTATATTGTAAAATTTATACAGTATACTGTATTAATAACACTTATAAATTACTTAACAAATGAAGTTACTTTCAATAAAAAAAACTCGAACGATTTTTCATAATTACACATAATTATACCATATAAATGTAATTCATTTTTTTGTGTATGCACATATGTATACGAATAAATATACATCGAAGTTTCACTCGACGATTGCTCAAATTTTCAAGGACGGAAATAAAATTGTTGGCAATATTTTACACAACAGATATAAATTCTTCGTTAACATCGAAATGAAATGAAATTTCATAAATTACATTAAATAAGTTGTAAATTACACTCACTGAGGGGCTTTTGTCCGTTCGCAACATCCATGTATTCCGTGGTGGAGCACACGGATGTTGAAATCTATACGTAGATTGGTATACCTTCACTATTGTAATATCACAACAACATTATTATATACTACATTGTGACAGGAGCTGTTATTTTCACCTAACCCACGTTTGATCGCTCAACTGCTCCTAACCTTCGCGCACAATATACTAACTACACTTAGAAGCCATACGTTTCTACGTATAGGCGTTTTCGTCCATAGTATGACTCAAGAAGGGGAATTCTACGACACTTTATTAAAGCATGCACCTTTACACCCTCTATAGTTACATTCCGCGCATTAATATTCATCAGAATATTTAACAATTTTTAAATTAAAAATCGTTCATAAATAATGGTTAATTATATCCCTTTCAGAATCAAAATCTATTTCTGAATTTCACGTGAATGTAACAGTATGTTGTGCGTAGTTATAAATATTTCTAAGAATAACGTACAACGCAAAATTTATAAGTTTCTTGTATAACTTATTGTATTTACATAATGTTATTGTTATAACATTATTAACATAAAGTAATGAAAAATATTTCAGTTATAATTCAAACACATGACGTTTCAATTTGTAACGTATGAATGCGTTTGAGAACGATAGGAAAGCATACTTCTGGAACGCATTTGCAGCGCTATCTATTGATATATTGAAGAAATTAAAAAACTCCCACCACAAATTGACCTATGCAAGTTTACAGTCCCGAGGTATGCAATAATTTAAATTACAAATTGAAATCAAACGAGAAAAATATAAATTATTATAGAATTGTAAATTGAAACTACGCACAATGCATAACTTTTCAAATTGTAATCAGATGTTAGAAAATTTAAGTTACTTTTCTGACATTTATTAACCATTGATTATTACTCGACAAATATTAGAATAAAATATCGTGGCAAAGTAAAATAATCAATATGTAAACTGTTTAAACTGAGAACGTGGTACTCAAATATCAGTGTTACTTTTTGGAGCTTAGGATAAGGATATTGATCGTGGTTTAAGAATTTCAATTAACATTGAAAATATTCTTTATTGGTGGACATTCCTCTTTTCCTGAACTTCGGCTAAAACTTACACAAATAACTTCATTATTAATTATAAAACATCTCGAGAAACTAATAACGCTACTACATTGTAATGTCCATCATTGAAGAAATGTTATATGAAAATAATTTCTAAAAAGCTGTATTTCAACGTTCTTTTTCTAAAATTTTCGTTATAAAATTTTTAGACAGTAATTCAAGTACTTTTCTTTTGTCGGTAAAAAAAAAGTTAGGTACTCTTGTTCTTTTGCGATCGATATTACTACGTATATTGCAAAATTTCCATGTCTACCTTTTATTATTTATTATCCTAATACTTTATGGCATCTTAACCCATAAATCTCTGTTACCAGCAAGCGGATTTCATTTAATACTGATAGCTCTCTTCGATCTAACGAAAACAACCTTTTCCAATAAAAACAAAAACAAATTCTTATATTGCACCAATGTCTAATTTTCACGCTAATCAAAGAGACGATCTAATGAAAAAACAAATTACCTTCAATTTCGTATGATATCAGTCAATCTTTAAATCTTTCGATATTGTTATATTAGGAACTAATTTAAAACGATCGACTGTCACCAATTCAAAATTGAACCCCCTTCTCTACAATTTCGAACTTTTGCACCGGTATAACGATAACTTTCTATCCAGCTTTCAGCTGATCCCTAACATCCTCCGTTCTACACGCAAACTCAAACCACTAAACTTAGTAGCTACTCTCGTAACTACGAGAAAAAAAGTTAGACCTACTTAAAAGGAAACAAATATTTGCCTATCTAACTGTAAAGCACCAATTCGACAAAGTGCACAGTCTCATTTGGGAAAGTCTTTAGAGTCATTCATTGACTGGCCCTTTTTCCGTGGTAACTGCAATGTGATTGGCTGAACGTCCTGGACTTTCCTCGGCCCCTGATTCGAACTACGAAACGTGATCTTCAGATTGGGCACGTGCTGCTCGGCCGCCCAGTCGAAATTAAAAATCGGCGTTTCCGGATGTAGCTCGGAGTCCGGCGTGTCGACAGGTGTCGTTGGCGTCGCTACGTAAGGGCTGAGCTCCTGATGAACAACGTCCGGTACCCTTTGCAACGTGTCCGACCATACTGGACTCGAGTTCCAGTGTTCCATCGGCAGATCAGACGGATCAGCCGTTGATCCAGTTGTAGTAGACGCCGATAACGCTTTACCCGGAAGTCGCTTATGGCTGCTGCTCCTCTCGTTGCAACAATACTCCTTATCTAAGTCCGTGATATAATACTTGGGCGATAACACGTCCACGTTGTATTGACCGTGACATTGGATGAATTTCGCCCGATAACTGCTCAGATTCAACGAATTCTTTTGATGGGTTTTATACCTGTCGGTAAATTGACCGAGCGCGTAATGGCCGTGTTGCACGTTCACGTGCACGTTTCTGTTCTCGTGCTCGCTACTGCTGATCGACATGTCCACCGGTTCCGCGTCCTCTCGCGGATTTCGCGTCGCATAATCTTTCAGCTGCGACTTTGACGAATTATGCTGATCTTGGTCGGTATTTTGTATACCAGGTGAATGTTGAGTATCGTTGTTGTGAGCGTGGGACAACGATCGAGCGTAATCTTGTTGCTGATTGTTTTGGCTCCCTGTTGCGTATGGCACACTGCGGTTTTGGCTGCCCGAGCAGATCGTGTAGGTGAATTTTGTTTGAGACGAGTACTGGTACAGCCAAGAACTTGAACGCATTACCTCCGCTTCTCTGTCACTGTAACAATTTGTCACATCGAATGCATTCTTCGTTATTTTGTTAACTTCGTTTTTGGTTTGTAATTGTTCTTTCCTTTGTTCTGATATTAGTTGACCAATTTATGAGGGACAAAGTGGACATTTGGTAGACTAGCGTTTCGTTGAAGTAATGAGAAATTTGTTTAAATGATTTGTTGTTGAATTTAGTACAGTGGAAGCTCGATAACTGGAAAATGTCTGTAAGACGAAAATTTTGTTTCATTCTCTTCCGCTTTGCTGTAAAAACCTCTACAACTCGAAATAAAACTTCCGTTAATATGTATTTTTTACCTCTACAACACAAATTCAGAAGAATTCCTACCTCTGATCAACGATCGTCAATTGTTTATTTCTTTGTAGAGCAGTTTTCTGTGAAAGATCGAAGGAATAAGTTAAAGCACAGTTCTATCGTTTCTCGTTCTTTTCTCCGGATTGTATGTGACAAAATGAACTCCAAACGCAAGCGAAAAATATTAACATAATTGAAACAGTACAAATAGGATCAAGAAAGAAAAAGGACATTGCTAATGACCTCTTCTACTCGAAAACTCGATAAGTCTATCTTTTCCCTCCCCTTGAGGTTTGAGTTATCGAGATTCCACTGTATACATCAAATTTAAACCTAAACGAAGAAAGAATCGAAGGAAAGAGACGACAGTGTCCGAAGTAAAAGAACGATAAATATGAAAACACACCTCAAAACTTGATTCGTGCACACAATGATAGGATGTTGACATTCTTCGGAAGTATCTTTGACTTGTAAAACGCAGTGCACCCAGAACCACCGTCCGGAACGGCTTTGCAGTCTTAACAATGCGGTTGCAGACCGTTCTTGATCAGATTGAATGACTAAAACAACCAATGGATAATATCAAAGCTGCCAAACGTCTTAAACATTGAAACGTTTCATTTAGCTTTTAAATTACTCTCTGGCTTTATTTCTTTTCAATTTAAGCAACATGGAAGCCACGTCCGCCTGTTTGTACATTCGTCGTGTTCGATTAAAGATAGAGATCATAAATTGAACCATTTCCAAAATTTCTATCAACGTACCAGTTTGATGTTTACAGTATGCAGTTCTTATTGAATCCCAGTGTAACAAATTATACCACGACACGTTTACCAATTCGTTACGTGTGTACTCCAAATGACTCTCTGCCCTGCAAACAAAAGGAGAAAGAAAGTTATAAATATGACGCGTTGAATATGCGTTGAAATTTAGTTATACTCATGAATGAAAAAAGAAAAAATAGTATTACGTTTTGTCGATATGAAGATACTTCATATCCATGGAATGAATGGTAGTGAAAATATTTGTCGCACCCTGTACGATACTTTCTCTAGTTTCCGGCAAAACAACGGGCGTACACGAAGCGAGAAAAACAAACTCATTTCGATTGCAAACAGGAACGAAAGGTAAAAAATGACCTTCAACAAGAACCACCTATAAAAAGTAACGATAAAAAAACTAAACGCGCGAAAAAGAAAAAGTTAAGTCTTGCAGAAAGGGTAATATTAGCAAAAGAGAAAAGAAAAATGAAAAATTGAAAAAAGGTGTACAGCGAGGTAAAAGTAGGGTAGCAACTTTTTATCCTAGGTTCAGAAAGATATAGAAAAGAAACAGGTAACAAAAGGTAACTAAATACAAACAGGTTCTATTGTGTTGCGCCAATTAAACACAGAGATTACCTTTTGATCGCCGAAACGAAGCTGCCTCCGTGAATTCCTGGATACATTGATTCGGCAAAGAAACAATCTTCTATCGCTTGGAATTGGACTATTTCTAGATAATTGATTTTGTACAACCATATGGTCTTGCTTGTCTATTACGTCATAAACACTATCCCCGTGGATAAGTAGATCCTCCTAAAATACATTGTACAATGTAGAACAGTGAGGTAAGTCAAATTTCTAAAATGATTGTACCAACAATTTCATGGTGTTTCATCGTCAAATAACGAGACAGTAAAGAGAGAAAGAGTTTGTTTGTTTGCTTTTTCTTTCTGTTTGTAGCGAATTTTCTCAGCACGATCGATTTACCATAATTTGTTGTTTCTTTTGTAATTAACTTTACCATAGAGTGTCCAAGATATTCCGCTGCATTTTCCGATATATACAACAGTTTTCCTTGTTGGGTCATCATCATTATAAATCCGGACATGGCCTGAAAAATTGCATGCATTGTATGGCCGTAGCAACTATTTGTACCGTAGCAACTAACGGTCAGAAATACAATGCGATATGATGATAAACAATATTACTTTTGAAAATCCTATGTTAGGGGTCGGGATATTCGAAGAGTCGGACGGACAGTTTTTCAAGGCTGAAACAGAAAATGTGGTCGGAACTTTAGTGAAAATTTCATAATTCGAATAATTCATTTAATGTACTGAAAAGATTTTAATTTCAATGATAAATTTAATTTATTAAGTAAGTTCAATTTTAACGATAAATTTAATTTGAGAAATTAAACGTTTCTTTTTTTTAATTTTTCTACCGTTGCTGTTAAATTTGATTAAATACGAAATTATTTTCTAGGTAGATCTATAAAAGTCAAGAGAATGTGAATACTTATTTTCAGAATTGAAATAAAAACTGGTACGATTGAAATCTGAAGATTAGGAGCGTTTATTGTTCTTATACGATGCACGATAAAGTTGAAACTTTGCATAAGATTACACAAAACTGTTACGATGTTTTAGTCGACGTGGTATTCGTACAATTCTATTGTTATTGCCGCTTTTATTATTCATAAACGTTTGAACTTAAAACTGTTCTCGATAAGATCTTCTTTATCTCAATGATAATAAAATAGTTTTATAAATAGTATCTGAGACGTAAGCAGAGAAATAACAAAGGAAGTAACATGGAAAATAATGTACAGTAAGAACTTGATGACAATGTCGATAAAGTGTATCGCAGCTAAAAATTTATTTCAAACATCTAAGGATACGTTGTAGCTTTTAATAACGGTACGAAAGGAATTCGGAATATAAATGATTGCAATTTTAGATCAAAGAGTCTAAAGAATTTAAATTAATACACGTATAATCGAAATAATTTCGAACAATTTTTCAAAGTTTCATTCACAAATCAAATTTCGAACTGTGAATTAATATATCACGCTTCGATTTCCCTAGAAATTGTATACCGACGATTGGATAAATTTAACATAATTTACACCGCACCATACAAATATTATTGAGCCTAATAAGAAATCACGTTCGTCGTATACGGTCAAAAGCAAGAGAGATACGGTTTAACCACGGAGGAAAACATATTTTTAACTAGATAACTAAACGACAGATACGGTAGAATTTTTGCGTGAAAGAGTGGAAAAAAAGTTGCACGAAATTTTCTTATATTAACAATCCAATAAATTGCCACGAGAACTTGTAACAAATGAATTCTGAAACATATTCATCTCAGTAGCAACTATTATCATAAACTAGCAAATTTGTACACATAAATGTTTCTTACGCTACTTCAATTAATTTCTACATCCAGTTTCTCCGTTCTACAGCAGAATTATCGGTCGACATACAGATATCGAGATTTTTAATCACTTAGAATTAGATTTCAAAGTAGCTACAGAGAAATTCCTGTTGAAATATCTCTCATACTTCGCGCACATTCCTGCCATTACAAACTGAGCAATCCTAATTTCTCCATCAACATAACCATCCTCTTTCATACAACCATTTCCCCAACTGAAACACCAAAATTGTCGATAAGGCAGCATTTTCAACATTTCCAAAAATCTGTTATCCATAGTTCTCCATAAATCTCCGAAACGTTCACTCAAACAGTTCATAATCGAAGTGTAACAAACAAAATTCTCCACAGACCTATCCGAGCATCGCCCAAATAAAATTGGCCAAAATTTGAAAATTCGTCTTCCACGTGAAAAGCGACCGTGAAAGATCACAAGCATGGATCGAAGATCGTAAGCAAGGATCGACGGAGCGTCGAGAGATCGAGAAAAACCGAAAAAAAAAAAAAGGAAGCGACGATGGAAAATTTCGTTTGGTGTGCGCGTTTTCCACTGTTGTCGCGGGGGGAGGACGGAAAGGGTCGGGGAAAGAAAAAAGGAGCGAGGAAGAGAAGAGGGAAAGAAGCGTATGCTAATGCAGCATGGCTACGTTTACAAACGGCGCTACACGGGACTATAGTATCGAATACTGTGAAACAATGAGTATGTAAGAGAGAAAGAAAGAACGACGGAGAGCGGAGAGACGATACAGAGGGAGTATGGGTTACAGGAGCGTGAGAGTGTTGTTGCAAAGGCCGACAGGTCAGCGGATCACCCGGAACTCGCGCTTAGACTCCGCTGAGTTTGAATGTACGCCGATCTTACCTTCTTGCCTTACCTACCTCCCTACCTTTTACCTATATATTACTCTCTACGCTTGCACAACGGAGATGCCCGAAGTTTTTGATGCTCCCAACGACCGTTTAATATTCTTGTCAAACCGCCGATTCTTATTTAGACGAAATCTGATCGGTTAAAACAACACGGTCGTTCTAACGATATTTCTCGTTATATCTCCTGCTCTTCGATCAGTTTCGCTGAATTATTCTGTGAAATATTTAAGACGTTTTCGAATTCCTTAGATACCTGGAGTATGCTACAGTGTTCTGTTGTTTAGAAAATTCTTCGATGATACTGAATCGAAGTGACGAATATACATATAGTTTTAAGTAGTTTTTAATAGAAAGGATCGCTCGATTTTGTGTAGTATTTCGTGCAATTCGAGGTCGAAATGGAATGTAGAGGAATAAACAAACCAGTCTTCGGGAACTTTCTGCAGCACTTGGATCTTTGCAGTTTGATAATTTTTTGAAATATTTGTTTCTTCAGATTTTTTCATCGTGGACGAAGAGACGGAAAAGAGGTGAAACAGTGGTATAAGTGAGAAATTATGGAGACACAAAGGGTGAATAATTATTTGAATGTGTTGAGGTTGAATTTATAATTCTGCTTGTAAATAATGCTGCACTGTATAGTTTTATAAGCAATATACATGCAATTCTAGAATCTAAAACTATGTTAAATCATTGTTTGAACTTTCATTTCTATTATAAACGTTAACTAAGTGAACTTGATATTAGATTAACGTATCTACAGTTTCTTTTTCCAGTCTGAACAATCAAGATTTACAACAAATAACAAGTTTCATCAATTTTCAATGCACATCTTAAAAAAGAAGTTGTAATATTTACCTACAAGATGGTTTTCTGAATGTAAGCAGTGTATGAATATATATAAACGATTCAAAATAATTTCAAATAATTTCTTTCATAAAGAACATTTCACAATAATAAAGATACTATGAACTATATTGCAATGTTTATGTTACTTAATTTATTTCAACCGAGTTCTTCACAGGGAGAATGCTGCTACAATACACCTTCAACGGAGATAAAAGTTATCTCAAATATAATATACTACAATTGTGAAATAAATACAGAAACATTTTTTTTTTTAATATATCATTATTAATATGATAAATTTGACGCGTTCAAGATTAAAATTTCCAAACAGATTGCAACAATCGATAATACTGTTTTAGTCGCTGCAGTTATCTGCTGTCTGTTATTCTCAAATAACTAATATCGTTACCAATACTTCGATATTGGTTTTTGCGGTGACGTACAGGTCCACTGGAAGACGCAGAATGTAAAAATTAAAACGACGAGCGTCTCGCCATGAAACAAAGGCATAGCGTTCACTGTGCAGTAAGTATACGTAAAAGCATTCACGGTTTTTTATCCTTATCCTTAATATTTTTCCACCCCGATAAAAACCTTGATAATTTTACGTAAAATTTCTCTGTTAAAACTTCATGCAAGTAGAAATTGAAAATGTTTTTTTA